TAATCTAGCTTCAATTTTCACAATAAACAATTTTCAAGAAAATCTAATCAATAGTGTTTTAATTTTTTTTTTTGAAATCTACATTTTCTTATCATTAAATGATAAAAATGCATTGTTTGAAATAAAATTTATCTTTTGCGGAACGGAGGGAGTATAAAATTATGATCTTATATTGGAGACGAAAAGGTCTTAAAAGTATTATTATCTAAAACTAAAAGTAGAAACCCTACGTAAGCTAAAACCAATAACTCTTATGTGAGCCAGAAAAATAAATGACTTTGGCTTTTGTTGGAATGTCACTTTCTTCCTTTTGTTGGAACTTCATTGGTATGTGGCTCTCCAATCCAATGAAAGGTTATTACTTTAAAAAAGAAAAAAGTAAATAAACATGGAAGATTGTGTCCAACGCTAAATTCAGAGAAATCAACAATTAACAGTGCGGAGAACCATCTCTCGATCATCTCTCTAAGAAGTTCTACAGACAATAAGCAAAGCGACTTACCTCACAAGATACATTAAACATGTCAGAAATCTTCGAGTATGCATTGTGCTCCACGAATACTGATTTACAAAACTTCGACATGATATGTTTCTATAATCTCCAATATAGATGCAATGGGGACTAGGGGAGGAGGAAAACTCGGAAAAAGACGAGACGTTTTGAGGGGATGTGGCGAAGTGGAAAAGTACCGAGAAGCCAAAGAACCTGTAACAACAATCAAGTAAGATCAAGACCTGTAAAGATTCATAGGATTCCAGGAAGGTATAACTAATACCTGACCAATGTCCAAAAGATATGGAATTTCGCTGAGAGATACAAAACATAAGGGAGACAAGGCTTCTGAGATGGAATTTGAGTACAATACTTGTGCAGCACTACATATGGCTTTATCCACACAAAACAATAGCAAGGCACATGACACATGTATTTCTCTTGTGTTCAGAGCAAAATTCACTTACAGGAATTCAGTGTTACTTAATTCTAAAGAGAAAATTAGACACATGGATCTCAAGAATCAATCTGAAGAACAGCTTTTGATTCCAAAGATGAGTTGACTCTGATCTGGATTGTTGCAAATCTCAAGTCACATGAGAGCAATTTAAATACCTTGTTAAGAACAGTTCAACTTAGCACGAGGATCCTAAACTCAATTTCAACTTAGTTGATGTTAGCTTTTGCCAAGATTAAAATGCATCGAACAAGTGAGCTTAAAAAAAAAAAAAGCATAAGACTTTATTGTATACCATGAATAGTTAAGTAAAAGACAGAAAACTTGATAAATATTGATCAAGTCCTTGTAAGAAGAATTAACTGTACTTTGAAGACAGAAACTTGACTAATAATCATCAAATTCACGAGCAAAAACAAGCTCTCACCTATCTCTCCCCCTCTCATTGATCCATCTATAGACTCCTTTAAGATTCGTTTCAATTCTCATTCGCGCTTCCACCACCAACGGAAGGATAAGACGCCATGGATCCAAACTTATTCTGCTGCATCATATACGGATTTGCATCAAACCCACCAGATCCTCCATTTCC